CAAAAATTTGGATTTATTTTACTTTCACTTTCAAAGATAATGGTGAGCAGGACAAACAGAGAGGGAGAATATCCCTAACAGGGGCACAGACAGCAGTTAAAACTGACGTGTTCTACTCTATCTCCTCTCTATCAAAAAAAAAAAAAACTAAAGGGTGTCCTTTTTTTTATAAATTCTTCTATCAAAGTTAAAAGCATAGGAACCTTTATGATGAATACTGTTTTTCTAAAGAAAGAGTTGTTTTTCTGAATTGACACTGGTGATCTGTTACATGGTGATTAGTGGAGCTCTCAAATAATTATCCCAACACTTATTACAGTATGTAGTAGTAGCCACGTTCAGATCATTGAAAAGAAGCAAATTGCATAAGGTAAAAGTAAAATAACTTCCAGGCTTGGATAGACAACATCATCCATGATTCTATTAATAGAGTGAGTCCACTTTTGGAAACCATATAAAAAACAAATGCTGAAACATACAACATAGGTAGCATACATGGAATACATGGCATAGAAGTAGTTCTCAAAGCACGTCTTCTGCACGGGTCTGTCACGCACTTCTCATTAAGTCTCAGTAAGTATACAATGTGCAAAGAGATGCCTTTTATTCAGCCAGTAAACAGGTTGACCTGCAGATTCTTCCCTGATCCCACATTGTTTTCTATTGCTCTTGATGGAAAGAATGTCTCTTCTCAGTGTAGTAGAGTAAAGGGGCATTGAAGCTATTTTTACACGTTGACATTGACACAGACAAACGGCAGAGAAACCATAAGCCTCAGCAGACCATGAAACCCTGCAGAAAACAGATCCAAAACATTTTGCAAAGGGTCATTCTCACCATAGTGCCTCCAATATTGAATGTTGCAGTAGTGAGCTTTACCATGCATTTTCAAAGCGCCCTATTCAGTTGACCTGGATGAAATGCAATGTAATTACATACTAATAAAAATAATAATAATACAGCGCAAATAATACAAATAATCAAAACTGTAAAAAATTATATATAAAAGTCCAAAGAAAAAGTCCCAAAATTAAAGTCCAATGTTCCAAAAAATGTGAAAAAATTATAATTGTTTACTCAAACTTCTTAAATTTTCCAGTTTGCTCACATCTTCTGTGAAAAGCATTTTATTGATCCACACTCACCAAATGCTGTGAATTCCCAAACTGGTATAGCTTTAAGACGCAAAAAGGCAAGCCTGCAGGTGGGGGTGTGGTGTCCTCAGAGCTGATATTACCCTTTATGTGATTTCCCACTGACTCTCCTTCCCAGATATTTGCTCATATAGCGGTAAACATAAAAGAAAAAGATGCCAATGATATATTGCTATGTACTGATAAAAAAATATACTGTATATATAGCTTGGAGGAAGATAAGGGTGGATTACCACCTGTGATTTAGGAGATATAATAATCCTATACAAATTGGTATTTAATTACCTTATGTGAGTGTAAGGAAGGTGTTTTTTGGCATTTTTTATTGGTACATAACAATATATCATTGGCACCTTTTCTTTTATGTTTATCGCTATATGAGGAAATATCTGGGAAGGAGAGTCAGTGGGAAATCGCATAAAGAGTAATATCATCTGTGAGGACACCACACCCCACCTGCAGGCTTGCCTTTTTTCATCTAAGGGCTCGTTCACACTTGACTGTTTTACCAACGCTTGCCAAACACCCCTATAGCGTTTGGCAAGCGTTGGTCCGGCGTTTGCGGAACGTTTTTTAACGCTCGGCAAACGCTGCACAAACGCCGCATGCGCGGTTTAGCGACGGTTGCTAGGCGTTTGCCGAGCGTTAAAAACGCCCCACAAACGCCTATAATGAAGTTTGAATGGTGTTACCGCTCCGCAAACGCACCGCAAACGTGGGCCGGGTGTTTGTGGAGCGGCACCATAGCCTAGAATAGGAGGCTTCAACACCTCCTGACTCGACCAGAGGCATCCGTTTTGCCGCGACGCTAACGCTCCCGTTAGATCAGCACCATGTGCTGCAATGTGCAGAATTGTCCGAGGCCTTTGGGAAGCGGTAAAAACGCTTCCCAAACGCCTCTCTGCCGCCTGCACACAACGCTAGTGTGAACGTAGCCTTAAAAAGCTATACCAGTTTGGGAATTCACAGCATTTGGTGAGTGTGGATCAATAAATGCTTTTCACAGAAGATGTGAGCAAGCTGGAAAATGTATGAAGTTTGAGTAAATAATTATAATTTTTTTCACATTTTTTGGGACATTGGACTTTAATTTTGGGACTTTTTCTTTGGACTTTTATATATAATTTTTCACAGTTTTGATTATTTGTATTATTTGCTCTGTATTATTATTATTTTTATTAGTATGTTTTTGATGTTTAGTCAATCCTTGAACAGCAGCATTTCATTTTTCACTTATTTCCTTGGCGCAAGTTTTATACATATTTTGCAATGTAATTACAGTATGCACAACCTTTGCCCAATACAAGGCTGCACATTGGGGGTAATAGGCTAATTACAAAAAGGGCATTTTTGTAACACATGCATTTTGCCTGCACTGAAAGAAAAAAACAGCACTACAGCCAGTAAGAACAAACCCTAAAGGGAAAAGAAAGCTTTCTAAGGTACACAAGGCACAGACTCTTACCCTCCTTTAACAACTATTTTAAAGAATATCTAAACACAAAAACTGCAGTTTATCATTTCTTAGATGTAGTGGCTGCATTTGTTTTTTCTTCAGGCTTTTTTCAAGTTTTGATTCTTTTTTTCTTTTGTATCTAAACGTATTGTATCTATGGAAGGAGCCATGGTTGTTACATGGGGGATAGATAGGACTAGTAATTTACAGGATAAAGATAATTATGTCTGTGCTTTCTTAGCTCACAGGAAATGACAAGCACACTGCATTTCTCACAAAATCTAAACGTATTTTCTGTACTTGCTGAAAATATTCATAGTCTGAAAAATGAAAGCTAATGCAGCCACCACACTTAGGGTGCATGCGCACTGGATGTTTTAAACAACTGCTCCCAATGTTCGTTTCTAGCAGAAAACAAGTTAGGCGCTGCTAAATGCGCCTAACATTATTGTTTGCTTACACACATTTTTTGCCACATTTAGAATTCTGTATCCTGGAGAGGAGCATTTTACTGCCTCTAAACTCTGCTGCTCCTAAACTCTGGTAAGATGGACACATAGGCTTTTATTGAGTTGATTTCAGGGGTTTGGCAAAAAAAAATGCCAAAAGCGTGTGTTTAGTAGCAGCAGTGTGACTGATGCCTTAAAGTGGTTGTAAACCTCAGACATGAAAAATGAACAAATCATATCCCACTATAGTGTGTACTAACCTGAATCCAAAGCACAGAGTCAGCTTTCTCTCTGATCTCTTTTCACTCCCAATAGATGACACCTCAGCCCCCTGGGAAATGCCTACTCTCCCCACTTCTTCTTCCCTAGCACATAGCAGTTTATGAGTTGTCTGTTTCTATGTTTCTCTGAGTCTCAAAAACTGAGAAACTTTTTTTTGGGGGGGGGGGGGATTTTAAGTGCTTGGGTGTAACTTTTGCAATTTTTTTTTTAACAAAAAGTCCTCAATTAATATAATAGAGTGCAGATCGCACTACTTTAAATATTTTCCCAGTCATACAGGCTGGGAAAAGGGAAAGGGGGATTTGGAAATAATGTTTTACAGATCGCTTCCGGGTCAGCAAGAAAAGGGAGAGGAGAGTGGATGAATGTAACGGAACCGGACCCCGACTGCACTAGGGTATTAGCGTTAGTGTTAGGAATGGACTGGCCAGCAATTGTGGGACTCACCTGCCTTTTGATCTGCAGTACCAGGGCTGGCCAGCGGGTGCTCCCAGCAATCAGAGACTCAACCTTTCAGCCAGCTAACACCTGGAACTGATGATACTGGTGTATTTAAGGGATGGCCAGACTTGCAGACTCTGCCTTGGTGTTGTGTTTGTCCTGGGCCCTGTATCTGTCCTGCATCCTGTTTCTGTTCCTTTGCTGACTTCTCCTGCTCTGATCCTGGCTTGTGACCCTGACCATCCCTCTGTCTGACCCTCTGTACTACGCTGCTTGCTACCTGTTCTGATCCCTGGCTTGTGACCCAGACCATCCCTCTGCCTGACCCTCTGTACTATGCTGCTTGCTACCTGCTGAACCTGGCCTGTGACCCCGACCATTCTCCGCTTGCTCCCCCTGTACCTACCTGCCCAATTGATATTGACCCGGCCTGCCTGACGACGCTTGCTTGTATATACTGTTATCTGTGGGTGGTTTGGTTTGGTTTGTTTGCACTGTATTATGTTTTAGTATTGCACTGCGTTTATGTTTGTACTGTTAGTGTTAATAAATTCTATTGTTTATAACATATCTGAGGTCTGCGTTTCCCTGCTTCAGTCACATACCTCTGGTCATACCCGGGAGCCCTGACATTACACCAAGGCCAATCCTGACCAGAAGTGGCTGCACAGGGAAGCCATCTTGGCTTGTTGATGGGAAGGATGGATCTTGAGGAGGTTGAGTATTTATATCTGCTAGTGTTTGATGACAGGGAGTATGCTTATCAAACTCTGAAGGAGTATACCGGGATGAATTGCTAGAATGTATACGGCTCGCTCATGTTCTAGTAGATCAGGGCACAGTGTTCTCTGAGGTGCAGCCATTGATTGAGGTTTGTGCAGAGTTGGTTTCATCTGGTTCCCCCGAATGCAGGGATGAATTTTTGCCACCATTTAGTGCAGACCAGGTAGAGTCCCTGGTGTGGTTATTAGAGGATGATGTGGGTTACTTTCTGGAGCGTTATTCCACATGTTCACCACAGACACTGAGAGATTGTATAAACGCAGTGCAGTCATTGACCAGACAGACTTTGTGTAAGCTCAGCTTTGTTCAACCCCTACTGCAGACATGGACAGATTTGTTGCACCCAGCCTCAGTCAGCTTACAAAGACCCAGTCCTGCTTCTAACTCTACTCCTGTATTCCCACCAGCTCCTCCAGTTACAGCCCAGTATACTTGGCTATCTACCGCATGTCAGTACCCTGTTCCCACTCGCTGCACCTATCCTGCCTTTAACCCTGTAAAAAAAGCCCTCTGTAGCAACTGCTCCCTCTCCTGTTCCATCCTCCAGTTTTTCTCTGTCTCCAGCTGCTCCATTCGTTTGCAGACCTGCGTTTACTTGCAGTGCTCCAGTAGTTAAAACCAGAAAAAAGCGAAAATTCTTTCTAACCAATACCATCCTGCCAGTATCCAAACCGGTGAGCCTGCCTTCCGTGGTTCAGACTGATGCCTGTACGCAGCATGATGCCTCTACGCGGCCTGATGCCTGTACGCGGCCTGATGCCTGTACGCGGCCTGATGCCTGTACGCGGCCTGATGCCTGTACGCGGCCTGATGCCTCTACTCGGCCTGAAGCCTCTACTCGGGCCTAATGCCTCTACCCAGCATGATGAACTGATCCAGCCTGACGATCCTATTAGGCCAGTTGACTCGATGCCCGCTGTTGATCCAGATGATCCGGTACCTGATCCGGTGCCCGCTGTCGTGCCAATTGACTCAGAGCCCGCTGTCGTACCTGGTGACTCGGTGCCCACTGCCTTGCCAGATGACGCGGTGCCCGCTGGCAAGCCAAATGACCTGATGCCTGGTGACCTAGTGTCCGCTGTCATACCTGATGACCCGATGCCCGCTGTCGAGCCAGACAATCCGGTACCTGATGACCCGGTGCCCACTGTCGTGCCTGTTGACTCGGAGACCACTGCCTTGCCAGATGACGCGGTGCCCGCTGTCGAGCCAAATGACCTGATGCCTGGTGACCCGATGCCCGCTGTCCAGTCAGACGATCCAATGTCTGACCCAGTGCCCGCGGTCATACCAGTTGACTCGGAGCCCACTGCCTTGCCAGATGACGCGGTGCCCGCGGTCGAGCCAAATGACCTGATGCCTGGTGACCCGATGCCCGCTGTCCGGTCAGACGATCCAATGTCTGACCCAGTGCCCGCGGTCATACCAGTTGACTCGGAGCCCACTGCCTTGCCAGATGACGCGGTGCCCGCTGTCGAGCCAAATGACCTGATGCCTGGTGACCCGATGCCCGCTGTCCAGCCAGACCATCCAATGTCTGACCCAGTGCCTGCGGTCATACCAGTTGACTCGGAGCCCACTGTCGTGCCTGGTGTCTCGGTGCCCGCCGCTCCGCCTGGGGGCCCGAGACCTGTTGCTCCGCTTGGGGGTCCAGCGCCCGCCGCTCCGCCTGGGGATCCGGCGCCCGCCGCCCCGCCTGGGGGCCCGAGACCTGTCGCTCCGCCTGAGGGCCCGAGACCTGTCGCTCCGCCTGAGGGACCCCGAGACCTGTCGCTCCGCCTGAGGGCCCGAGACCTGTCGCTCCGCCTGAGGGCCCGAGACCTGTCGCTCCGCCTGAGGGCCCGAGACCTGTCGCTCCGCCTGAGGGCCCGAGACCTGTCGCTCCGCCTGGGGGTCCGGCACCTGCCACTCCGCTTGAGGGCCCGAGACCTGTCGCTCCTCCTGGGGTCCGGCGCCCGCCGCTCCGCCTGAGGGCCCGAGACCTGTCGCTCCACCTGGGGGTCCGGCGCCCCCGCCCCTCCGCCTGAGGGCCCGAGACCTGTCGCTCCACCTGGGGGTCCGGCGCCCGCCGCTCCGCCTGAGGGCCCGAGACCTGTCGCTCCTCCTGGGGGTCCGGCGCCCGCCGCTCCGCCTGAGGGCCCGAGACCTGTCGCTCCATCTGGAGGTCCGGCGCCCGCCGCTCCGCCTGGGGCACGACGCCCGTCGCCCCGCCTGGGGGCCCGATGCCCGTCGCCCCGCCTGGGGGCCCGATGCCCGTCGCCCCTCCTGGGGGCCCGATGCCTGTCGCCCCGCCTGGGGGCCCGATGCCTGTCGCCCCGCCTGGGGGCCCGATGCCTGTCGCCCCGCCTGGGGGTCTGGCGCCTGCCGCTCCGCCTGAGGGCCCGAGACCTGTCGCTCCACCTGGGGGTCCGGCGCCCGCCGCTCCGCCTGAGGGCCCGAGACCCGTCGCTCCTCCTGGGGGTCCGGCGCCCGCCGCTCCGCCTGAGGGCCCGAGACCTGTCGCTCCGCCTGGGGGTCCGGCGCCTGCCGCTCCGCCTGAGGGCCCGAGACCTGTCGCTCCGCCTGAGGGCCCGAGACCTGTCGCTCCCACCTGGGGGGTCCGGCGCCCGCCGCTCGCCTGAGGGCCCGAGACCTGTCGCTCCATCTGGAGGTCCGGGCCGCTCCGCCTGGGGCACGATGCCCCGTCGCCCCGCCCGGGGGCCCGATGCCTGTCGCCCCGCCCGGGGGCCCGGTGCCTGTCGCCCCGCCCGGGGGCCCGGTGCCTGTCGCCCCGCCCGGGGGCCCGGTGCCTGCTGCTCCGCCTGGTAATCAGATGTGCCTCTGCCCGGAGTCCTGCCCGATGTGCCTCTGCCCGGAGTCCTGCCCGATGTGCCTCTGCCCGGAGTCCTGCCCGATGTGCCTCTGCCCGGAGTCCTGCCCGATGTGCCTCTGCCCGGTGTGTGCCTCTGCCCGGTGTGCCTCTGCCCGGTGTGCCTCTGCTCGATGTGCCTCTGCCCGGAGTCCAGCCTGGTGTGCCGCTGCCCGGAGTCCTGCCCGGTGTGCCAGTCTTTGATATCCCGCCAGTTGCCAGACCCGGGCGGTGGAACATTTTGCCCAGCTAGGACTGTTTGGAGCGTCCTGAGGCCGCTCCTTGAGGGGGGGTACTGTTAGGAATGGACTGGCCAGCAATTGTGGGACTCACCTGCCTTTTGATCTGCAGTACCAGGGCTGGCCAGCGGGTGCTCCCAGCAATCAGAGACTCAACCTTTCAGCCAGCTAACACCTGGAACTGATGATACTGGTGTATTTAAGGGATGGCCAGACTTGCAGACTCTGCCTTGGTGTTGTGTTTGTCCTGGGCCCTGTATCTGTCCTGCATCCTGTTTCTGTTCCTTTGCTGACTTCTCCTGCTCTGATCCTGGCTTGTGACCCTGACCATCCCTCTGTCTGACCCTCTGTACTACGCTGCTTGCTACCTGTTCTGATCCCTGGCTTGTGACCCAGACCATCCCTCTGCCTGACCCTCTGTACTATGCTGCTTGCTACCTGCTGAACCTGGCCTGTGACCCCGACCATTCTCCGCTTGCTCCCCCTGTACCTACCTGCCCAATTGATATTGACCCGGCCTGCCTGACGACGCTTGCTTGTATATACTGTTATCTGTGGGTGGTTTGGTTTGGTTTGTTTGCACTGTGTTATGTTTTAGTATTGCACTGCGTTTATGTTTGTACTGTTAGTGTTAATAAATTATATTGTTTATAACATATCTGAGGTCTGCGTTTCCCTGCTTCAGTCACATACCTCTGGTCATACCCGGGAGCCCTGACAGTTAGACTCCCACTTCCCTGTCCGAACACAGATCCACAGACACCACCGCTGCCCATACAAGACGAGACAGCACCAGACTTGAAGGAAACCAGGAGATAGACTGCTTTATTTTAACACAGACACAAGATATAAACATTCAACAGAACAACCCACCTCCCGCATATGGACACAGGGCGGGGCAAACCAAATTTAGCAATAAGAAAACACATCAGCAGACAGTCCTATCAGAGGGAAGGGCTGCCAGAAACACCCCCCACCAAGCTAATACACAAACACATACACCCCATAATAGTTTTCTCCCAAGCAAGACACACAATAGAACAATGGGATGCACCACATGGCAGTACAATGAACAACCCCCACACCCCACCTATACATGTCTACACAATATCAGAAGGGAGCTGGGTTCCATGGGCCCCCCACCCAAAGTCACTCCCGTCACAATGGATATTCCCTTAGGTCTCTTCCCTCTACCTGTAAGCACCTGGTCCAGAGAGCACCAATGGGCGCACGGAGCCCAGGATGCATTGCGGGGGCCCTTATCAGGGTGTCTGGAAGTGATTAGTTGGCTGCACAGTTGCCGGATTACTTCCATCTGACAGCCAAGCAGTCGGCTTGTGAGATACACACATTCTACATTCTCAGCTGCAGCCACCTGGAGAGTGTGTAAAAACCTCCCGCTGCCAGGTCCGTATGACAAACGCACTGGGCAATTAACCGCTTGCCGCCCCTGCACTGTGTATATACGTGTGCAGGGCGGCAGTGGAGCGCAAAACCACGTTTAAAAAACGGGTTCCGCGCTCCCGACACTTTCGCCGGCAGGGGGCGAGCGCGCGCGCTCCCGCCGACCCGCGGGTGACACTATTTGATCCAGGAGGGATCAATCATTAGATTTCAGCCAGTGATTTCTGGCTGAAATCACATGATCGGTCCCTGTCCTATCCTGTCCTGTGTTGACATACACAGGCAGGATATGATGTCATTCTTCTCTGCCTGGACACATTCCGTTCCAGACAGAGAAGAAGACATCCAAAAAGTGAGTACACAAGCACTACACTACAGTTAGAACACTCTAGGACACATTTAACCCCCTGTTCGCCCTCCAGTTAACCCTTCACTGCCCTGTCACCAGTGTTACTGATCAGTGAAGCGATTTTTTACTGATCAGTGTCGCTGGCGACTTCCGATAGAGTTAGCGCCCCTCCCAGATAGCGCCAGATTGCCCGCCAGTACACCAGTAATCCCGTTTAACCCCTTGATCGCCCCCCCCCCCCCTCCAGTTAACCCCTTCACTGCCCTGTCACCCAGTGTCACTGATCAGTGAACCAATTTTTACTGATCACTGTATCAGTGTCGCTGGCGACTTCCGATAGAGTTAGCGCCCCTCCCAGATAGCGCCAGTTTGCCCGCCAGTACACCAGTAATCCCGTTTAACCCCTTGATCGCCCCCCCCCCTCCAGTTAACCCCTTCACTGCCCTGTCACCCAGTGTCACTGATCAGTGAACCAATTTTTACAGATCACTGTATCAGTGTCGCTGGCGACTTCCGATAGAGTTAGCGCCCCTCCCAGATAGCGCCAGATTGCCCGCCAGTACACCAGTAATCCCCGTTTAACCCCTTGATCGCCCCCCCCCCTCCAGTTAAACCCTTCACTGCCCTGTCACCAGTGTCACTGATCAGTGAACCAATTTTTACTGATCACTGTATCAGTGTCGCTGGCGACTTCCGATAGTGTTAGCGCCCCTCCCAGATAGCGCCAGATTGCCCGCTAGTACACCAGTAATCTCATCCCATTTAACCCCTTAATCTCCCCCCCCCCAGTTAACCCATTCACTGCCCTGTCACCAGTGTCACTGATCAGTGAACCGATTTTTACTGATCACTGTATCAGTGTCGCTGGCGACTTCCGATAGAGTTAGCGCCCCTCCCAGATAGCGCCAGATTGCCCGCCAGTACACCAGTAATCCCGTTTAACCCCTTGATCACCCCCCCCCCAGTTAACCCCTTCACTGCCCTGTCACCAGTGTCATTGATTACAGTGAACAGATTTTTACTGATCACTGTATTAGTGTCACTGGTGACTTCCGATAGTGTTAGCACCCCTCCTAGATAGCGCCAGTTTGCCCACTAATGCACGGGATTTTTTTTACCAAAAACATGTAGCAGAATACATTTTGGCTTAAATTTATGACTAACTTTGAGTTTACGATATATTTTTTATAGCTGAAAAGTAGAAAATATTGTTTTTTTTCAAAATTTTTGTGTTTTTTTTGTTTATAGCGCAAAAAATAAAAAGCGCACAGGTGATCAAATACCACCAAAAGAAAGCTCTATTTGTGTGAAAAAAAGGACGTAATTTTCGTTTGGGTGCAGCATTGCATGACCGCGCAATTATCATTTGAGTTAGTGCAGCGCTGTATAGCAAAAAAAGGCATAAATTACAGTATCTATACCATAGTTTGTAGACGCTATAACTTTCACATAAAGCAATCAATATACACTTATTGGGATTTTTTTTACCAAAAACATGTAGCAGAATACATTTTGGCTTAAATTTATGACTAACTTTGAGTTTACGATATATTTTTTATAGCTGAAAGTAGAAAATATTGTGTTTTTTCAAAATTTTTGTGGTTTTTTTGTTTATAGAGCAAAAAATAAAAAGCGCACAGGTGATCAAATACCACCAAAAGAAAGCTCTATTTGTGTGAAAAAAAGGACGTAAATTTTGTTTGGGTATAGCATTGCATGACCGCGCAATTATCATTTGAATTAGTGCAGCGCCAAACAGCAAAAAAAGGCCTGGTCATTAAGGGGGGGTAAATCCTCTGGGGCTCAAGTGGTTAAAGGGTTCATGTGTTTGTTTCTTACTTAACCGTTTCAATACATGGAATTTTACACCTTCCTGCCCAGGCCATTTTTCAGGTTTCAGCGCTCTCACACTTTGAATGACAATTGCGTGGTCATACAACATTGTACCCAAACTAAAATTTTATCATTTTCTTCACACAACTAGAGCTTTCTTTTGGTGGTATTTAATCACCGCTGGGGTTTTTATTTTTTGCTAAATTAACAAAAAAAGACCAAAAATTTTGAAAAAAAAAAACCCACATTTTTCTTTGTTTCTGTTATAAAAGTTTACAAATAAATAATTGTTCTTCATAAATTTAGGCCGAGATGTATTCTGCTACATGTCTTTGGTGAAAATAACCCAAATTAGGATGTATTTTTTTAGTTTGTAGGAAAGTTATAGAGTTCACAAACTATGGTATAGATCTGAATATTGATCAATCCTGAAGTACTGACGGCCAATCTAATTTCTTGAGGTCCAAGAATGTCAGAATAGTACAGATATCCCCAAATGACCCTTTTTGCAGAGTAGACAGTCCGACGTACTTCATAAGAGGCATGGCGAGTTTTTTGAAGTTGTATTTTTTTGTCATAATTTTTCGGAAAATGAAAAAATGAAAAAAATTATTTTCACTATTATTTTTTTTTACATACTGTCACCAGTGCAGAACAGCGTCATCATATAACTGGCATGGCGGTGAACAGGGACACTGACTGGTGACAGTATGAAAAAAATATATATATATATTTTTTTTTTTTAATTTTTTTATTATATTTAATTTTTTATTATTTTTTTTTATTTTTTTTAAGATTTTTTTTTCATATTTTACTATGACCAAAGTAGTACAATGTTACCATAGTAACATTGTACTACTTTGGGGAAGTGATCAGTTTTTTTTTTTTTTACACAATTTGCTTATAGCAAAGAATGACTTTGCTATAAGCAAGCATTTACCTGAATGAAATCGATTCATTCAGCTTTTTTTTTTTTCTGTGCTTAGCTGTGAGTTGGTCACACCTAATCACATGACATGTGCATGTGACTAGCTGTGACCATTCACAGCTAGGCACTATATACAATGGATGGCATCATGAATGAAGCCATCCATTGTATACAACTGTCATGTGACCTGCTGTGATTGGTCACAGCAGGTCACATGGTACCAGCAACGGGAGCCGGTACTCGGATCTGTCATCGGCCGTGTCCCAGGTGCACGGCCGGTGACAGATCGCACTGCTGCGCCGCTCTGCATTAGCGCAAACGGCGCATGTGCAGGAGCACGCCAAATGGCGTGCACCCGGAGTGGAGAAGCACATCTGAAGCCGCCAAACGGCCATTGGCCGGGCGGCTAATGGTTAAAGAGGAACCAAACTAAAAGAAAAAACTTACAAAAAGGAAGGCTCTTTATTGCAGAAGAGAAATGCAATAAAATAAACCTACCTGCATGTTCGCAAACTTCTGCAGAATGTACAATGTGCTGTGCATTTGCAGCTTAGTTTACATTTCTGGCACAGTGCCAGTGTCCTGAGATGGATTACTCTGCACATGGTGCTTTTTAGTACTGTTTTAATCTTTTGTGCACTCATAAAGATATTGATTTTATATTCTTGTGTGGATTATTTGCTGAGAAGTCATACCTTACAAGTTGCATTTTTTTTCCCTCTCTTTACACTGTGACTATAGCTGGATGTTGAGCTCCTACAACTATACCCATAAACTTCAGTTCTACCAGACAGTAGCCAATATACCATGTTTCTAACCATCCATTGGCACAAGATAGTTAAAACAGGATATCTTTTACAATGTCATCTGTTGAAATGTGAGCATTTTGGCAAATTACACACTAAGAAGAAACAAAATTAATTTTATTGCAGCACTTGGAAAAAAACTGGAAAAAAGTAGTGTTATATGATAACTTCTATTAGCAAATAGAAGAGATGACCACTGCAAGCTTATGAAAAAGGTTGGGTGCCTTTTGTAGCCACTGTATAATCATACTGAAAGAAGAGACCTAAATTCTCAAACATCAGCCATTGTACTCAGTTAAAGCTAATCTCAAGTAATTTAACAACTTGCCCGACATAAGGTTTACCCCCTTCCTGGCCAAGCCATTTTTTGCTATTCAGCACTGCGCTATTTCAGCTGGTAATTGCATGGTCATGTAACACTGTACCCAAATGAAATTTATGTCCTTTTTTAACACACACAGAGCTTTATTTTGGTGTTATTTGATCACCACTTTTTTTTATTTCTTGCAATATGAACAAAAAAATATCGAAAATTAAAAAAAAAAAAGATATTTTCTAATTCCGGTTACAAAGAATGTACAATAAACTCAAAGTTAGTCATACTTTTAGGCCAAAATGTATTCTGCTACATGTTTTTGGTAAAAACAAATCCCAATACATGTATATTAATTGGTTTGTGTGGACGTTAGGACAATATAGCGTCTACAAGCTATGGTATATATACTGGAATTTACACAGCTTTTACTTTCTGATTGCCTTTCTTGAGATGCTAAAGAGCAGTACAAAGACCCCCC